CCTTCTCGCCGTTCCTAAAATGGATAGCCCCATGTACGGCTGGATTTGGGTAGCCGTCTTGGTGACTGGTGCCAGTGCGTTGCCGCAGGCCGTGTCGAAAACGCCTTCGATGGCGATGACTTAGCCGTCTGGATAGATGGGTGCCCGGGCGTCAATGATCGCCAAGGACACAGCATCCTGATAACACAATGAAGAGGTGGCCTTACTTATTTCCCCGAAATATGTGTGTTAGGGCCCGTGAATGTGGGTGGTTTGGCGTGTTACTTCTAGAGGAATTATCCCGCATCCCTTATGTTTTTGGCCTCTTAAGTCAGGTGCGTTCCCAACAAGGTTTGGGCCCCTCCTATCACTAATCAAGTAAGTGGGCGCCGCGATAGACATCAGTATTGCCCGTGCCAGCGGGCCCTACCACCGCCTTGGCCCAAGGCGCCTCCAGCTTTTGGTTCCATGTTGGCGCCCCCGGGGCCCTATGGGCCTCGTGAAGGGTGCTCTAGACGCCGTTGGAGCCTTTGAAGGCCCCCCTTGGGCCAGCGGGCCCTACCAACACCTTGAGCACCCTCTTGAGCAGCTCCTCTCACGCGCCTCCGCCTGGCGCGCTCCGCGGCGTCAGTGGACGAGGCGGGGGGAGGAGGAGGAGGAGGAGGAGGAGGAGGAGGAGGAGGAGGAGGAGGAGGAGGAGGAGGAGGAGGAGAGGAGGAGGAAGGGGAGGAGGGGGGAAAAGAAGAGGAGTAAGAGGAGGGGGAGAGGAGGAGGAGGAGGAGGAGGAGGAGGAGGAGGAGGAGGAGGAGGGAGAAGGGGGGAGGTGGGGGAGAGGGGAGGAGGAGGAGGAGGAGGAGGAGAGGAGGAGAGGAGGAGGGGAGGAGGAGGAGGAGGAGGAGGGTACGAGAGGGAGGAGGAAGGAGGGAGGAGGAGAGGAGGGGAGGAGGAGGAAGGAGGCAGGAGGAGGAGGAGGAGGGAGGAGGGAGGAGGAGGAGGAGGACGAGGAGGAGGGAGGAGGAGGGAGGAGGAGGAGGCGGAGGAGGAGGAGGGGGAGGAGAACCAGCCTTTTCTCTGCTCAAACTCACATGTCTTGTGTTTTGCCATCAACTGTACAGCAGCCGTGTTTACTCTTTCTTCTAGGCCCCCCTGGACTCAGGGATTGGCCCCCAACCGACACTGGTAGCAGCCCATGTCTTGTGACCGACGTCACCAGAGCTAAAGGCCAGCCACATTATATTGCGCCAACCTATTGGTAACAAGGGGTCTCGCAACACCCGAACAAAAACTACAAACAACACGGAGGTCCCGTGGCCCCGGAGGTTAGGGTTAAACCAAGAACCCGTGGGTAGCAGACCAAGACTTGCCGCCATGCTGTCTTCTCTTTTTACTGGCACTTTTCAGCTTTAGCCTCGATCTTCCTGCACTCCTGCTCTCCTCTCCTCCCGTTCGCTCGTCTTCGGATCGGTCGTGAGCATGGGTTTGACTAATGTTATCGCTTGCTCGGTCTCTCCTCCCAACACACCGCCTGGCTGGCGCATACTCCACGCCTCTTTGGACCACCTTCTATTCTTAATAGTGACGTCTGTCCTATTCAGTTGCGCCAGCCATGCTAATTTGCTTGTTTCACCGCTAAGTCGGCGTTTTCTTTGTCATGTACGCGCCAAGCTTCCGCCTTACGTTTGCGCAGCGTCAAAAGCAGGGAGGAGGAGGAGGAGGAGGAGGAGGAGGAGGAGGAGGAGGAGGACGAGGACGAGGACGAGGGCGAGGGCGAGGACGAAGAGGACGAGGACGAGGACGAAGAGGAGAAGGAGAAGGAGGAGGATTAGGAGGAGACGGAGGAGGAGAAAGAGGAGGATGAGGAGGAGGAGGAGGAGGAGGAGGAGGAGGAGGAGGGAGGGAGGAAGGAAGGGAGGGTAGGGAGGGAGGGAGGAGACGGAGGGGGGCAGGAGGAGGAGGAGGAGAGAGAGGAGGAGGAGGAGGAGGAGGAAGGAGGAGGAGGAGGCGGAGGCGGAGGAGGACGGAGGAGAGAGGGAGGGAGAAGAGGGGGAGGAGGAGGAGGGGAGGACGAGGAGGGGAAGGAAGAGGAGGAGGAGGAGGAGGAGGAGGAGGAGGAGGAGGAGGAGGAGGAGGAGGAGGAGGAGGAAGGAGGAAACCTCCGCCTGGTGCGCTCTTTCAGGGGGGGGGGGCAGGCGCCGCCGGCCGGAGACGCCGCGCGCGGGCGGCAGAGGCCAGTGCGGTTCGTCCTGTCACGGCGGCGCACACAGGCTCGAGGTTTTCTGTTTTCGAGGTTTTCGGGAATCTCGGAGCTTCTCGTCTGCTTTTCGGCGGCTCGAGGCTCGAGGTCCTCGTCGGTTCTCGGCCGTGCGAGGATCGGGTCTCGAGGATTTCGGGTTCTCGGCTCTCGGCGGTATCCCAGCCTCGGGAAGCCCTCCAGCGGTTGTGCCTCGCCGAGACCTTTTTTTCCGGGGGTGCCCGGCTCGTCCCGGACGGCCGCCGGAGACCCGAGTTACGACTCGAAAACAAAGACTAGGCGCAAGGGGGTGCTAGCTTCAACGGTTGCGGAGGAGGCATCGGGCCTGGGGCCATTTGGCATTGGGGGGGCTAGGGAGTCGCTGGAGAGACCGTCGGGGCTAGCCTAAGGCGGGCAGCGTCGCAGTTCACTTCTACATTCTTTGCAGCTCGAGCCTCGTACTCTCCTTTCAGAAGACTGCCGCGACACAGCCCACTATGCCAAGGGGCTTCTTGGAAGGCAGGGGCCCTCTCAGAAGGCCCCGCAGGCCTCCGAGAAGGCCTTTCGGCGGCACCCCGGGCCTTCTAAGCAGCCCCCTGTCTTCTGAAAGATGTTCCTTGGCTTCTTCGGAGCCCACCCCCACCCCTCGCGTCACCCCCTCGTGCGCGCCGCCAGTTGCCCGTCCTCCCATGAGCGGATCTGTGGGGGTGGTGTCCGCCACAAATACGAGCAGAAATGGAATTACAAATGCAAATGCGAATACGAATGCACATGCAAAAACATACGTATACATATATGTAAACTTTGTTTGTATATATATATATATATATATATATATACATGTAAATATGTACACAGAGACTCTCCAATGGATTGTTCCAGGGCCTCAGGGGAGGGTGGCTGTGTATACATTACCGTTGAGCGCCATCGATGTTATACTCCGCCGCCCTCCCCGAAGGTATACGGAGAGATCGTGCGAGGGCGTTTGTGCAACAACGAATTGTGGCGTGCGTTGGCCCTCCTGCCGCGTGCCTCTCAGCCGCCGTCGCTCGGCAGACAGAGATATCGGCGCGCCAATCGGGCGGCGAGGGTGCTCGGGTGGACGAGGGGGGACGAGGAGGATGACCAGGGGAAAGGAGGATATGATCAGAGGAGGTACCCATACCGCTACCCCTTCCCTTGTCTTCTCTTCTCGGAGCCTCCCAGGAGGCCCTCGTCGCCACCGCCAGATTCGCCTCGAAATTTTGGTCAGGGTGCTCCCCGGGAGAGGTCCCGGGAGTAGCCGTATCGGTACCTCCTGGGTTTCCCAGATGAGGGGAGGGGAGGAGAGGGAATATGGGAGGCCGAAGACGGCGAGGCGCGACCTAGTAGTCTCCAGCTCACGTCCCCGTGGAAGATGGTGCCCCCCCCGCGCGACTGGGTACCTCGAAAGGGGAGCCTCGTTGAACTTCTGTGTCGAGGGGGGGGAGTCAGAAGGGGATATGAGGTGGAGGGAGGAGGAGGGAGGAGGGCAAGGAATGGGAGGAGAGAGAGAGAGAGAGAGAGAAAAAGAGAAAGAAGGGAGGAAGGAGCATGACAACGAGGATGGGGAAGAGGGCAACATGGAGAAATGGTGGAGAAGCATGATAGACAGTGGGGAAGTGAAGGAGGGGATGAGGGCGGAAGGGTGAGAAGGGGAAGGGATATGGGGGAGGGGGGACGATGGGAAAAAGGCGGAGGCAAGGGATGAAGGAGTAGGGCTGAGGGAGGACGATGAGGAGGAGTCGAATGGTATCAGGATGATAAGGAGGAGCGCGGATGACAAGGATGGGAGGAGGGAATGAAGGAGTCTAGAAGGAGGAGTCAGGAGGCAAGAGGGAAGAGGTCAGGGGGAGGGGCTGGAGGGAGGGAGGATGATATAAGATGGTGCGATATGGTAGCAGGAGGCATGAGGTGGGAAGTATAGAAGGAGGAGTGGACGGAGGGATTGGTAAGACGGGACGGACTCGTCGCCTCTCTTCCATACCATACCATACCGCCGAAGTCGCATTTGTTGTGCACGACGTGGGCCCCTGGAGCTTTCGGCACCATCCCCAGGATGGGGCCCCCGACAGGGATTGCTGTTTGGGGCGTCCTCGGTTCCCGAAACGTGTTCTGGACGCCAGGGCACCATCGGAAGATCTGCTGCCGCGCTTTATTTTTCCGCGACGCCTGAAGGCCCAGGACTGAAGCGCTTCCGCCCTTCCTGGGCCTCTGGCCCTTCGCCTCGGGCAGGCGGATATCCCCCCAGGCTGGCCACCTTTCGGAGAGCTCCACCCTCCTTTTCGACCCCTCCGGATTGTCCGACGTCCCGCAGCTCTCAGGTTCCAAGGAATAGTGTTGTCATGGCGCAGACCTGCGCTCGACGCTGATTCTGGCCCTCCTCCCGCTCAGCTCTTCCTCCTTCCCCCTCCTCCCACTCCTCCCACTGGTCCACATTCCCCCTCCCACGCTCCCTTTCCCTCCTCTTCGTCCTCGCGCTCCTCTCCATCCCTTCCCTCTGGGCCCCTCCCATCCTGTCCCTCCCCTCCCAGATCTCTATCTCCCATCCCTCCCTCTCCTGTTCCCCGTCCCCCCTGTCCTCCTCGTCCTCCTCGCCTCTCTGGTTCTCTTCTCGTTCCTCGTCATCCTCACTTTTCTGCTCTCCCACTTCCTCATCATCATCAGTCCTCCTCCTGCTCCCTGCTACTTCTTCTCATCCTCGCGTTTTCCTGTGCCTCTCCCTCCTCCTTCTCCTCCTCTCCTCCTCTTCTCCTCCACCCCTACCATGCAGGCGAGTATTGCGTCACTGGTAGCATCGACCGCACGTGCAAGCTGTGGCACTGCAGCTCTGGCCAATGCATGGAGACCCTGCGGGGCCATTCTGACGAGGTCCTGGACGTTTGCTTCAACGTCGCTGGCAATCGCTTGGCCACGGCTTCGGCAGACGCGACGGCGAGAGTGTACAACGTCATGACAGGGTCGTGCATCTCCATATTGATTGGCCATGAGGGCGAGATTTCCAAGGTCCAATTTAGCCCGAATGGCTACAGGATAATCTCCGCATCGAGCGACAGAACGTGCAGGCTGTGGGCGGTCGAGACAGGCGAGTGCTTGCAGGTCTTGGAGGGCCACAGCGACGAGATATTTTCGTGCGCCTTCAACTACGAGGGGGACACTGTCATTACGGGGTCCAAGGACAACACCTGCCGGATCTGGAAGGACAATTTCTTCATGCCGATGGCAGGGGACGAGGACGACTACGACCAGGGAGTCCCCGACCAGCTAGGAGGCTACAACCAGGCAGGCCTCGACCACTACGGGCACGCGGGCGCAGGTCGGCGACTACAAACGGTATGGTTACGTTGGGGTGTGGTTTGCGATCGGCACCGTCGGGGCCTGGGGGGCACGACGCTGTCCTCATCGGGCCTCCTCGGGGCGCGGCGGAGAGCTCTGTCGAGATCCTCGCCCGCCCTCCAGGGGTGCCCCTCAGAGTAGCCCCCGCTTTTGCAGGCCACACCCTCTTGGCAAACCACACCCTTCGGAGTCGCCGAGCAGGGCCGGAGCCGTGAGCTCGGCGCTGCGAGACCTGCCCGCGCCGCGGGCCGCAGCGCAGCGCTGCCACCCTGGCCTGTCTCACGAGAGATCGCCGGGGGCGCGCGGAGGGGCCGCGAGCAGCAGCAGCCCCGCGCGGCCGCCCCCGGCAGCGCGAGCAGAGCCTCGCTCCAGGGGGCCGCTGGCCGTCCGCGGGGGCGGGGAGGGGGGGGGGGGAGCGGAGAGTCGGAGGAGGAGGAAGGGGTACCCATACATCTACCCTTCGCTCGTTTCCCCTTTTTTGGGGCCTCCTGGGAAGCCCTCGTCACCACCGCTGGACTCGCCTCGAAATTCTGCTCAGAACGCACCCTGGGAGGGGTCCGGGGAGTAGCGGCACTATAGTACCTTTTTGGTTTCCCCAGAGGGGCCAGAGGAGCCATGGCCCCCGACGCGGCGGCGAGCGAGAGGGAGGGCTTGGAGGAGAGGGCCGGACTTCTGAGGAGCCCTCGCGTCGCCCCAGGAGTGTAAGTCGGGCGTGTCCCTCTACAGCAAGAATATTCAAGAATAGTAAACAAAGTGGTATGCTCACGATTGTCGATCTGATATGTTTCATGCTTTGAATTGAAAGCTTTTTATTTAATCGCTTCGCTCATGCCGCCGGCCCTGGAGCCCTCTTTAGGGCCTCTTGGGGGCCTCTTGGGGACCTCTTGGGAGTCTCTTGGGGCTCCTTGGCGGCGTTTTGGAGGCCCCCAGGGCCTCTTGGGGGGCTCTTGGGGGTAGTCGATTGCGGCTCCCCCCTCGGAGGCCACGATCCTCGTGAGGGGTGTCGAAAAATACCCTCCCCTGGAGTGGTCTGGTGGCTTCTCCCGGGCTTCTCTCGGGACCTTGCCGGGGTACTTTTCGTCCGGGGGCCCCCAGGGGCCGCTCCGCGCGCGCGAACTAGAAATATTGTTAACAAGTTACCGGAGATCTTAGCACGCCTCTGGCCCGTTGGGCCGGCGAATTGTTCTTGCAACCTCAGTCTGTAGTAAGACATGCCAAACCTAATCATAAGTTTCGTTGTGTCTTCAGGGGAGACTTGGAAACCTTCTCAGAAGACCGGGGAACTTCCGAGCCTTCTGGAAGGCCTTCTCCTTCTCACTTCCCCCTCGGCTCGCCGCCGGCGTCCAGGCCTCGGAGGAAATGAGCGAACCTTCATGCCACATTCGTCTGTCAATGCCCCGCCCCAAGCTCCAAGGTGGCGGTGGGTCGAATGAGTTGCACTTCGACCGCAGTCTCCCCCGCTCGTGCCGACCTCGACTTTTGGGGAGGGGGAGAGGCCTTTCTTCGGCCAGCCTTCCGTTCGAAGCCGTTGTTTGACGGCCCGTGAGGTCGAAAATCTCCCACCAGCATCCGTCGTGACTCCGCAACGAGACGACGAGGGGATGGGGGGGGGCACGGGGGGGTACGCCCGGGAACTCTCGGTCAGCGTGTCGCTCCACCGGTTCTAGCCCACCACCCCTCCGCGCGACGCGCTGTCCGCTTCGCGCTCCCGGGGCGTCCCCGTGCCGAGCTTTCCTCCAGCATCCCACCCCGCGAAGCGGAGCGACACGCCATCCGCTGGCAAGGCATAAAGCCAAGACGCAGACACAAGGACCGCTTTCGGTCCGCAAAGAGCTCGCTGTTCCTTAGAACGGTCAGTGATTTTCCTCTGGCTCTCCTCGTGCACCCAGGCGCTCTTGGTGCCGAGAAGAGGCCTCGTTCCTTATTCGGCGTCCCTCACGGCAACAGCTTGACTGTAGCGTGTCGCTGGGGCCGCCGTCGCGACACACTCAGCAAAAGTTCCCGACCGTAGGAGGAGGGGGAGGAGGAGGAGGAGGGGGAGGCGGAGCAGGAGGAGGAGGAGGAGGAGGAGGAGGAGGAGGAGGAGGAGGAGGAGGAGGAGGTCCACCAAGTGGACGTCCGCCCGCGCTGTGCCGGCAGAGGCGCCCCCCCGGGGCGGCGCGCGCGCGCAGGAGTGCGGGAGCGCCCGCGCCCGCCCGGCTTGCCTGGGCGGGCGGGTGCGGGGGCTCCAGAGCCAGCGTGGCGCGGGGCCCGGTGCTCGAAACGCCGAGGAGGAGGGGGAGAGCTGGAGGGGGAGGGGGCTCCGGAGCCGCGCGAGAGGGTCGAGGAGCACGAGAGGAGGAGGAGCACGAGAGGAGCACGAGAGGAGGAAAAGGAGGAGGAGGAGGAGGACAAGGAGGAGGAGGAGGAGGAGGAGGAGGAGGAGCACACCGAGAACGTTGTGGACCAGAGGGGGCCGAGCATGCGCGAGCGATGCTGCAGTATGCCCGCCCGTCCCGAGCCTCCTCCTCGCTCGTCCCGGCGCTTCTCCCCGTCCGCTGCGGGAGGCGACCCCCTTTGAAAGGCGCGTGCCCCCTTGGGCCCGCCACTCAGGCAGGACCCCGTCTGCAAAGGCCACCGGCCATCCTTGTAGGTTTAAGTCGGGCCTGTCCTTCTACAGGGGGAATATTCAAGAATAGTTCAAAAATAGTCAGGGTACGATTTTTTGATCATTTTTGGCAATTTGGGGATATTTTTGGGGTATTCTTAATTTTTCGCCCAAAATCCCCTTGTAGGGGGACATGCCCGACCTGATTCTAGGTGTAAGATTCGCAGGCCTAGAGGTTGACACCAACACCAATTTCGGCGGTGTACCTCCACCGAGGGAAGAAGATCCCGATCTCGGTGGCGGTGGTAAGATTCTGGCTTCCAAGGTGGCTGCTTTTATTACCACCGCCACCGAAGTCCAGGATCACCTTCCCCCTGTGGAGGCAACCCCCTGCGTTGGTGCTGGTGCCCACTTCCAGGCCTCCAAAAGAGGTGCACGGGTGCGCGGCTCACGACGGCGTGGTCGTGAAGTCCACGGAAGTGCCCAGCGGGATCGACGCTTTGAGAGGATTCGCCCTCCACCCGTGCGGACGCTGCGCGTCTTTCGGAGCTCCAGTCGCCAGAAATTGCGAAATCTGGAGCGGGATCCCGACGTTGAACGGGGGTGCCCTCTGTCCTTGAATCCGTCGCACAACGGAGGATGTCTTAAGCGGGAGCATTCTTTTGAAAAGGACACTCGTTCCAACCGTGCATCTGCTGGGAGTGGCTCAGACGAGAGTGCGCGTGGGAGCAAGGCGAGGGCCCCTGTTCAGACCACGTGCCGCCGCTCATGCGTGCAACTATTGGACATCTCTGCAACGAAAGCGCGCGGCGCCGACGCGAGAGCCCCATTCTGAGAAGGAATCGCGCTCCATCAGTATGAGACCTGTTGAGCGTTTTGTTTTGCACGAAGCACGAGGCGCAAAGGCGAGAGCCCTTTTTTGCAAGGGTACCGTCCTCCATCCGAGCAGCCGATGTGTTTTTTTAGAGCAGCGGGCGCCTGCGGCGCCAAGGCGAGAGCACCATGTTAAAAAGGTGTTGGCCCCATCCGTGTAATTCTCGAATCGTTTAAGACGAGTGCTCGCGGCGCCAATGCGACAGCCCTGCGAGCCGAGTTTGATGTGTAGGCGGACCCTGCCAGATCAAGGTTGTACTTGTGTCCTGCGCTGCGTGTGCTTATGGCCATGTGGCCCTCGGGAGGGTGTCATGTCCTTTCGCGTGTGTTTTCCCCCAATCAGTCTCGTTTGTGGTTGCGCGATCCCCCCCCAACGCTCATTGAACAGCTCGAAGAAACCTCATCCCACGCCCCGTCCCTCCCTGACGGGCGCCCGCGGCGCTGCGCGCCCGCCCCGGCCGCAGTCGTTGCTCCCACAATCCCCCTCTCCTCCCCTCCCGTCTCCTCCCCCCTCCTCCCCGCTACTCCACCCGTCCTCTCTCTCCTCCTCTTCCTCCTCCCGCTTCCTCCTCCTTCCTCTCCTCCTCCTCCTCCTCTCCTCCTCCTCCTCCTCCCCCTCCTCCTCCTTCCTCCTCCTCCTCCTCCTCCTCCTCCCTCCTCTCCTCCTCCTCTCCTCTCCCCTCCCTCCTCCTCCTCCTACCTGCATTCCTTCTCCTTATAGACGACCTCTCTGTGGCACCCCCAGGCGTGTCCGTTGGGCGGGCTGGGCCTTTCGCATGAAACTTCCTCGTCATCGATGCTCCCGAAGTATGAACCTTGCGAAAGCTTTTCGGATGGAAGGCGGGCCCTTCGAAAAATTGTGGCTCTGGCCTCAGCGCCGCGCACATGATTTCGCAAACGCTTGCGCAGTTTCACAGATCGAGGGCTTTTGGTTTCCAACATGTGGTTGTCGCCTTGGCGCCGCGCGCAGTCGTTTTGAAAGTTCGCAGCAGCAGCAAGGACGCGTTCTCGCCCCAGCGCCGCGCAGACTCGCTTCGAAAGTTTGCAGCCGTTTTGCGGACGGAGGGCGGGCTGTTTTCGAAATGTGGCCCTCGCCTCCGCGCCGCGCTGGTTCGTTCTGAAAGTTTGCAACGGCTTCAAGGATGCAGGGCGGCGCCTTCCCAAGATGCGGCTCTCGCCGGAGCGCCGTGCACATTCGCTCCAATAGTTCACTGCGGCATCATGGAGTCGTATGGTCAAAGTCTCAGGAACGGCGTTCTGGAGCGATTGATTACCAGGGCGCAACAGTCACATTGATTCGCGGAAGTGCAGTCCCAGGAATGTTTGTTTGCTAGTTTTAGGATTGTCTGGGCGCAGCAGTGACGTTGATCCGCGGCGATGAAGTCTTTGGAGCGGTGCATTGGCACGCCCTGGTATTCTCAGACGGTTGTCTTCCAGTTGGGCCTGCCCCGCAATGAAAACATACAGTCTTGCCAGAAGCTATGGAGAGGGAACTTGGGGGTAGGGTGTATTGCAACATCGTTGACGCGTCTGGTGTTTCTTCACAAGCATCCTCATCCTCATCCTGTTCAGCATCATCGCCGTCATCACCATACTCATCGTCCTTATCAGTCACCACCGTCACGATCATGCCACCCGAGTTGCCTCAATAATTGGGGCTCGACGCGCACGACACCAACGAGCCGTGGCGAGCAGGCACCCACCTTTTCTGCGTCAAGTGCGGCTCCTGGACGCAGAGTCGCAGGTTGGCGGGCCTCGCGCAGGTGTACCCGAAGGCCCCCAAGAACGACAGGCAGAAGGCGGTGTTCGGCCGCCTCAAGCTCGGGTTGCAGCCAGCGGGGCAGGGCAGCATCGGTGACCTTGAGCCCTTACGGCGCCTGCGCAGGCGTATAGACGGCTAAGTTGTTTCACCATGTCGGGCACGAACCATGTTTGTATGTT